GTCTTACAGTGTCAGGGTAGGGCATGACGTAGGCTGGTCCTTGAAGGCTGAAGGGTCTCGGAGGGGGGTTTGGTTGGCTGATGTGTCAGATTGCAGATGTCAATGGCACCATGATGCTGGTGAAGGCCACTCAACGCACGTTGTGCATCAGATTAGTTCTGTGCAGCTTATTGGCTTATTTGGCTTCAAGTAAGGGAAGGCTTGAGTTTTGTTTAGCTTTTTCTGCATGCTAGGCACTGCAGTGATTCACAGGCAGTGACTGAGAAGTTAAAGCACTCGGTGGATTTATGCATTTCAGTCTCAAGCAGGCGAAGAGAACGACCAGAAGCATTCCTGAAGCAAACACAAAATAGGACTAGAATAGAAACCTTGGCCTCTGTGGTGACAATTTAGACTCCAGTTTGTGAATAAAGGGGGGTATTTTAGTGCAGTGATGTGGCTAGCTGTAAAGAAACAGCATTTTTAAATGCTTTGTGCCTTCAGCCGCCTTTCCTTTCCCATTAAACCCTTTCTCTTGCACCATACCAAGGATTGTCACCCTTAAAAAAGCACAGCACTTAAACCCTTCGTGGGGTGTCTGGTAGAGAAATCAACCCAGACATTTATCTGCAGTGAAGTCTCATTAAAGTTGTGTGCAGAGAAGGGAGCAGTGAGCAGAGCCCTATGTAAAGCCGTTCAGAAGGGGTGCTTTGTGGGATTCAGGGTATTTGCCACAAAATAGGCTGAACCATTTGGCTGCGACGTGATTTCACATCATAGCTTCAGCAATTGCGGCCACGGCGTTAGAGCGGTGGTAAAAAGCTGATGTTTGCTTTTTTTCCCCCTTGTTTTTGGAGGCTTTTTTACACTTCAAGCACATTATTTTTGCCGTGCAGCCTCTCAAAAACTTGTTCAGAATGGCACAATTTGTGCTGTGGAAACCACCCTCCAAGCTGGGGCTGCCCTGCTGTCCAAGAATAGGTTTGTAAGGGACCTTAAAGCTCATCCAGTTCCAACCCGGTGCCATGGGGAGGGACACCCTCCACTAGAGCAGGTTGCTCCAAGCCCCTGTGTCCAACCTGGCCTTGAACGCTGCCAGGGATGGGGCAGCCTATTCAAATATGAGCTGCTTTGCAGCCTTTTGTATTTGCAGTGATATGCTGTGGCTTTCATTTCATTTTCTGTCAAGATCTTTATCCCTCTCTCCTCCAAAGCCTCATTGTTCTTTGCTCCTTCCTTACATCTTAAAACCCACCAATCTGTGATGCTTTTAATGATTGTGCTACATATCTCTGTGATTAAAGATGGTCGACACAGAAGTAAATGTTAAGTAAAGCCCTTTCTACATCCCCAGCCTGCTGGCCTGTGTTTGTCTTGTGTCAGAAGGCAGAACGAATGTATCCTGGAATCTAGCTGCCTGTTTGCACAAGCACAAATGATTAACCTGGAGTAGCAAAGGGAAGGCCAGAGATGGCTGAAGGGTGGATTTGCTAGCAGCGTTCACTGTGACCTTCCCACCCCTTTCCTAAGGAACATATGGACGTAGTGCTGGTTTGTCTTGTCCTCACAATTAACTTGAGTACTAAATTGAAGGCTGTCATTAGCTCTGATCCTCTCCACGTGTAAAAGTCCTTAATCTGAGCAAGGAGGCTCTTACCTTTAACTTGGAAAGCGTGGATGAGCGCAGTCCCAGGTGCAGATTTGCCTGCTGCTTTGCATTGGGACTGGCTGGGACCTATGCAATATTGCCATCACTTACCTTTTGGTTTTCCTTTCTTCCCTAGGTCTCAAAACACAACCACCTAGTTTTTACACTGCAACAGAAACCAGTTGTAGCATCTTAACCCTGTGGGATGGGGTATGTTGTGTGTGAATAAACCCCGTGTTGATGCAGACAGCAGTGTGAGGACTCCTGCAGACTCACTTTGAGCGCTGACAAGGAGGAGGAACATGCGCATGATGGCTTTGATTTTGTAGGCTAGGTCTGTTTACTTGGAGATGTTAAATGGTTCCCTCTCCGCGCTGTCTTTCTCTGCCTCCCTTCCAAAACTGCTGGTCTTGCTGCAGAGGTAGGTGGTGAAGAAGCACCTTTCTGATGCAACTCTCAAGTGGGTTGTTCAGACCTTGGTGCCACTCCGTGCTTTCCTTACTACACCCGTCTGTAGCTTGTTCCTGCGGCACCTCCTGAACCACAGCAGATGATTCATTCCTGCTTTGGAAGCAGGGTGGACAACCGGGGGCTGGCAGAGGAACCACTCCGCTCACTCAAGTTCCATCTGCATTGAAGACATCCCCAGGGTGAATACTGACTTTGTAGAAGGCTTGTCCTTTCTCTTCCTCCTGCCAAAAATGCTTTCACACTAGCACTTTACCCAGCTGGCTAATTTGGCCTTTGAAATTCCCTCAGTAATGTCAGGTACTTAGAAAAACATTCCCATCCCTTTATAAATATTACAATCTAGATGTAAAGGCATTGTTTCAGTGCTGTTTGGGACCTGTTGTGTGAAGAAGAAAAAGTTCTTCAGTGCTGTGCAGCAATCCAGAGCGGGAGTATAAACAAATACTGTGTCAAGCTCAAACAAGTCGGTTGACTTTGAGAAGGCAGAATGTAAATGCCCAAGTCAGGAGAATTAGTACCTTTGGTAACGTTGCAACGAATGCAGGGAGATTGCTCCTGCTAACAAGCCCCAAACCCTTTCTTGTTGGAAAGAAAGGAAAACGAAAAGAAAAAGCATTTTGGGAAGGAGGCAAAGATGGGGTTTGGTCAAAGCTAAAGCGCGTCTCCGTTTGCCTACAGTTCAGTTCTCCACCGCCTCTGTGCCAGGGGTAGAATTAATAACCTTTAAAGCCTTTGTAGCTCCATCTACCCGAGCTCACAGGTTGCAGGCTGGAAGGAGCAGCACTCACATCCTGCTCGCAGTCTTGCTGGAGTTCTATTGGAGAGAATGTGTTTAAGGAGCACATCTGGCATCGACTCAGCTTTGCAGAGCAAGCAGGGGCTGTCTGCTCCGCCGCTGGCATTGCTCCATATCCGAGCCTCCCATTGCTGACCTTTGTCACCTGTATCTTTACAGGAATTCAGAAGTCTGTGGCTTTTAAGTGATGGAGCCCTTAAAAATACTTGTTTTGCTCTATTGGGTTTAATATGCTAACAGTGGAACAGAGCCAATAGCCCATCTTGGGCAGCCTGATCCGGGAGATTGCTCCATAAAGGTTTATTTCAGCTATTAGCTCTTGCGCCAATATTTTCCTTACAAGAAAGAGTAATGATTTCTCTTTGCAACCTAAAATTGGGGGTTTCACAGGCTGCAACTGGCAAATTGGCAGCCGTACTCATCTGAAAGCCTGTGGCAGAGGGAAGAGAGCTAAATGAAGTCTACAATAATAGCTTTAGAAACTTGAGGCCGCTGAAAAAGAAAGCACACCTGAAATCTAGAATAAAGGTGGTAATTATATAGTCAGACTATATGCAGGTGGTTACAGAGGGAATACTTTTCCAGCTCAATAAGGTATGCTTAAAATTGGGGATAAGGAAGTAAAATGAGTTGTTTGGTTTAAAAACTAAGAAGGAAAGCTCCACCACTCACAAGAACTTCAGCATTCCCTTTGGCTGGTACCAGAACACGCGAGTTCTGGGTTTTACCTATCTTTATTCCCTGTTTTCCTGGTATTTTTTCCCTCTGAAGCAACGGGAAGAGGAAGTTAAAGGTTGCTGTGTCGTGCTTCCATTGAGCGGTGGATGGTGGTTCTGCAATCCTGCTTTGTTTCACGTTGAATTGCCACAGTCCTGCAGACTTCTCCTTCTCAGTCAGTTGTTAAGAGAGAAGCTGTCTGTGGTTGTGCCCTTTTGCCACTGTAAGAAATAAGTGATTTTTAAGCCATTCTAAATATAGGTTCCTGGTGTGGCTGCCTTCATTATTACCAAGACAAAGGGTTTGTGTGTTTATGTCCATGGACTTCTGGGTTACACAGTGGACTTCTTTGGTCTGTTTGCTTGGCACATGAAGGGAGGCAGGTTTTGTTCTGCTGCTTCTGTGAGGGGGGTGGGGATGTTGCTCCGGAGTTCAGAGGTGGAACTCTTGATGTGTAAAAGAAAGAACTTAAAAAGGGGATTTGTTCCCATGTGTTTCCTACTGCATCTTCGCTTTCCCTGCTGCAGAGTTAAGGTGAGACTTGAGTGTAAGTCAGGAGTGAGATGAGATAGAAATGGGATGAGAAGGAGAAATGGACCATACCAGGGGGAATAGCCATTAGAGTATCTTCTGAGCATTCATTCTCATGCTGAAGGATCAGAACTGGGTGGGAAAGAGACTACCTCAAAACCAGTTAGGTCTTTTATAGCCATCTTCCTCTCTTGGCTCCTGGGTTTAGGTAAGTTAGAGCTCTCATCTTTGGCTCTGTAGTTCTTTTCCCTGGCCTGTTAGAAGAGTTGAATGCATACTGAGCAACTCAGATTGTACTGAGCAGTCCTTACTGAAAAGCAAAACTGGACTTATAGCTGGTAATAGACTGAATAGAAATGGAGATTGATGCGAGTGTCCTGATCTGATGTTTGTTTGAACTACTGTGCTATTGAGTAGACTTGGAGAAGGGGAAATAATGTCTCATTTGTGGCCCTTTCAAAGGAAAATCTTGATGCAATTACTTGGTTTTCAATGCACTTTTTCACCTGAGGTCCTGTCACACCACAAAACCTTCCCGTGTTTGCAAACTGCTCACCCTGTGACAGCAACACCACCACCACCAGCCTGGTTTAGCATTTGTGGAATGGCTGTAGGTTTTAATGCAAAGGGACGTTCATGAAATCTTTTGTGTATTGGAACAATAGAACAAAAGCAGCAAAGGCATTTTTCTCTTTATGGAAATCCATATTCCAGTCACAGATAAAGAAAACAATGCTCGCTTTTAATATGTGGGCATTTATTATGGATTATGATCAGGTAGTATTGCAGCTGCTGTGATTGCCTGAAAGGGGTTTTTCATGGGTTTAAGGTTCCTTTATCTTTTCTCTTGTTTTGCAGTATTATGTGCCAAGAACCTTGCAAAGAAAGATTTCTTCAGTAAGTATGCCCCAGTTGTATGACTTTCTGCTCTTGATTAATCAGATTTATTTGTGTATTGTGCATCAGTGTCATGGCTCATCTGTGTATGCCATTTGTTCTGTGGTTCCATTCTTGTGGTAACATTGCATTACTACATATATGTTACCCTGAGTTGTAACTCTAGGGTTAGAAAGACCAAGGGCTCACAGATTTGAGTTGGAAGTCTGGCTGATGAGACCACAGACAAGGTGCTGCTTACAGCTCCTTGTTGGGGGTACCAAGAGCATCCATCTCAGTCATGCTCTATTCATAAAGTGAGTAAAAGATCCTGATGCTGCAGTCTCAGTATTATGCTAAGGACTGAACAAACATGACTGCTTCTCAGTGTGTGTGGGTCACTTAAGCTCTGTTAAATTAAGCACCTTTAACCTCTTGTTTCCTAAAGCATTCACAATTTACAGCAGATACCAGTCTGTATGACACAAGTATGTTCCCTAATTAGGAACTCAGTTCTCTAGTTTGGATTTACTAAAATAGTTCTAGGATAATGGCAGCTTTTCTGTCTTGGGGAGGGGAAGCAGAAGCTCACGGTAACATTATCTTGGAAGAAACAACCCAAAAAGTACTGTGTCTAATAACACCTTTTCCCTTCCACAGGACTTCCTGACCCGTTTGCAAAAGTCGTTGTTGATGGGTCAGGCCAGTGCCATTCAACTGACACTGTGAAGAACACATTGGACCCCAAATGGAACCAGCATTACGATCTGTGAGTTATTTCTAAGGTCATAAATAAACAATATTCCAGAGATCTATCTAGTAATTGGAATGCAGGGGTTGGCACTGCAGCTTCGTCTTGCATTAGCAATGGAGTCACAATGGCTGAGGACTGATTTCTTGCAACAAGAAGTTGCCTGTTACTAAAGGAGAGCTGCTTTGCTTTTAGGTGTTTGAATGGAGAAATCCTTGTGCGTTGGGTACACAGCACAGCTGCATAGAGTAAGCTCTACTGGAGCGGTGCAGTCCAGCTTGTACAAAAGATTGCCCCTTTTGTAGTGATTTATATTCTCCAAATTATTAGAAACAGGGATTGTAAAGTTTGGTACATTAATCAGCTTGTTGCATAGCTTTTAATGAGGCTGGCTGTAGTTAACTTCATGCTGCAGCAATATCAGTTTAACATGCTGGGTGAAATCCTAGTGCAGTAATTCATTAATAACACCATTTCAGTCTCAAGTACTTCTGTATTTATCATAAAGCAGCATGACCAATGTACTGAAATGTATCAGAATTTGTACCGAATAAAGCATAAATTGCTTAGAGGAAACTTGCTCTTCTGATATGTATTTTCCTAGGTATGTTGGGAAGACAGATTCCATAACCATCAGTGTATGGAACCATAAAAAAATCCACAAGAAACAGGGAGCTGGCTTCCTGGGGTGCGTCCGACTCCTCTCCAATGCCATCAGCAGGCTAAAAGATACTGGATGTAAGAACAATTCCTACCTGGTGCAATCAGGAACCTTCCGTGCCTTGTATCTGAGTAATGAATAGTATTCCCACCCGTCCCTCCCTGGTGTTTTGTTGATCTTTCCAATTCTCATTTGCAGACCAGCGTTTGGATCTATGCAAACTAAATCCCACAGATACTGATGCTGTACGAGGCCAAATAGTGGGTAAGGATCCTCTCAGCTAAACTTTTCATCTTCGTGGGTAAATATACTATACAGACAAGTGCTCTATTAAAAAGGAGACCTGTATATTATTGCTCTGTGCCTTTTCTGTATTGTTTCTTCTGACTTCAATGGGATTCAATTCCATAACCTGAAAATTGGCATTGTGCTCCTATGTAAGAGTTTGTTTTCTCTCAATTGAAACAATATTAAAGAGGGAATGCATCCGGTAAGGTTTCTTGTGCCGCTCTGGAAGGGTAAATGTTACCATGAAACTCATTGCCTTTGGACCAAGGTGACAGGCAAAGAGAATCTTATGCGGAAAAGAGGATCTGGAGGAGTTAAAAGCAATATTGCAAATTGCTGGTTTAATACCCTTGAGTCCTGTACCCCACTGCCAAGTTTCAACAAGGCACTGCTAGTTTTACAGCTCATTCACCCCATCTTAACCCCATTCTGATGGCAAAACCACCAAACCCGAGCTTTTCATTTCAGTGTAGTTGGCAACCCCTAAATTCTCACTGTAATGATGACATCTAGTGGTGAGTAATTTCTTGCCAGCTTACCTTGCTGGAGCCTCATGAAACACAGATGTAGATGTAGACGTGTTTGGTATTTACAACATAGACTCAGCTTAAGTTTTGAGGGGTTGATGCCTCTGGTTTCTCTTCTTCCTTTTTAAAACGTCAGTAATGCCTTAGGGTTATAGAAGCAGTTTTGGTAAAGGGTGTGCTCTCAGCTTCCCTTTCTATTTCACCCTGTATAAATATGGGTTGTTTGTCTTTACGTTCTTTTGAAAGGAACAGTTGTTCTTTCATGTTTAACTCGTGTTTGTTTGCTTTTTATTGCAGTCAGTTTACAGACGCGGGACAGAATAGGCACAGGAGGTTCTGTAGTAGACTGTAGAGGGCTTTTGGAGAATGAAGGGTAAGGATTGTTTTCGTTACACTTCATTATTAAAATGGTGTCTATGTGGAAAGAAGAATTAATGCTAGAACATGAAAATATCAGTATAACTAATATATTGGCTGGGGATGTGTATCAGGTAATAAGGTGGATACTGACTTGAAGAGAATAAGCTAAACTGGGTAGGACTTGCTCCTTTAGTTAACAGCGATTCTTGCACTTGCATGAGAAATACGGGGTATAAAAACATGAAGAAAGTGTCGTGGCGTGGGTTAAAAGTTGCAGTAATAGAGAGGGAGTGAAAGAGAAACAGTTCTTTCTGCATTCACTTCTCTTGTGATGGAAACTCTTGAAGTTTCCCCATTTTCAGAACGGTTTATGAAGATTCCGGACCGGGAAGGCCGCTGAGCTGTTTCATGGAGGAACCAGCACCATACACAGACACTACGGGGGCCGCTGGAGGAGGCAACTGTCGCTTCACAGAGTCCCCCAGTCAAGATCAGAGGCTTCAGGCACAGCGGCTTCGCGCTCCTGAAGTCAGAGGTCATGCACAGACACCTCAGAACAGACCACATGGGCACCAGTCGCCTGACCTCCCCGAAGGCTACGGTGAGAGCTCTCCAGCACTACAACATTGAAGTTTTCAGCTTATAAAACCCTTCAGAGACAGAAAAATCACCCGTTTCCTGTCTAGATGTGGTTTACCTGTTAGAACACGCAGCATCCACGTGCATCTCCTGGCCTGCAGTTTGGATAAGGAACTGAGCAGAGCAGATGGGAGTTTGAGATTGGCTAATTAGCAGTTGGCTATGCCAGGATACACTGAGGGGTTGATGGTAAATTAAACATGAGGTTGTGGTATGATGCTGTTACAGAGAAATCACTGCTAATCTTGGCTTTGTATCTAGGGAGAACGAATGGAAAGAGCTCTTTAAAGTAGAGCAGGAATGCTATTTTTTCCTTCCCCCTTGGCATGTTGTGTAGGTTTGAGCCCACATTTGAGAAAAGATCAGGAAAATAGAAAAGCAACAAAGAAGGCAGTAGTACAGAAGATTAGGGAGGATAAGATTAAGGAGAATTTAAATCTCAGTAAAGAGCACAGCAAATCTATGAGTAAAGAAATCTAGTTTGGGGGCTTGGGTTGTCTTAAAACCTAAAAGTAAAAATAGAAGCTAAGGCACATGGATTTGAGAGCTTCAAAAAGGATGCTGAAATGTGTAATTAAAGTATATTTGGGAAGGACAAACCAGTCCATGCTGCAAGAGATCAGGTGGATGGCTCACGTACCTGCTCCTGGATCTGACAGAAAGAGAATATTCTAATGGCTTTCAACAGACTGTTTGTTTACTTGGAGCACTGTGTGCAGTTCTGGTGTCCTCAACATAAAAAGGACATGGAACTGTTGGAACAAATCCAGAGGAGGCCACGAGGATGATCAGGGGACTGGAGCACCTCCTGTATGGAGACAGGCTGAGAGAGTTGGGGCTGTTCAGCCTGGAGAAGAGAAGGCTGCGTGGAGACCTCATAGCAGCCTGCCAGTATCTGAAGGGGGGGCTATAGGGATGCTGGGGAGGGACTCTTCATTAGGGACTGCAGTGATAGGACAAGGGGTAACGGGTTCAAACTGAAACAGGGGAAGTTTAGATTGGATATAAGGAGGAAGTTCTTTACTGTTAGGGTGCTGAGGCACTGGAATGGGTTGCCCAGGGAAGTTGTGAATGCTCCAGCCCTTGAGGTGTTCAAGGCCAGGTTGGACAGAGCCTTGGGTGAGATGGTTTAGTGTGAGGTGTCCCTGCCCATGGCAGGGGGGTTGGAACTGGATAATCTTAAGGTCCTTTCCACCCTAAACTATTCTATGATTCTGTGATTCTATTTTGGGTGTTTTCTCCAGCTGTTTAAGTTAGAATAATCTTTCTTCCTTTCCTATAGAACAAAGAACAACGGTACAGGGCCAGGTTTATTTTTTGCACACACAGACTGGAGTTAGCACATGGCATGACCCAAGGATACCAAGGTATGTATCTGTAGTTACAAAGTCAGGGGGGTTGGAGTGTGTGTGTGGCAGTAAGCTGAATCTTTAAGAGCAAAAACCTGTGAAATGGCCTGTCTGAACTCAAAGGGAGACCTAGGAGCAGAGGAATAATTTGGGGTCTTTCTAGTTACCTTTGCACCAAGGGAAGGGTTTGAAAACATGAATTATCTACTTGTGAATCATGTAAAGCAAAAGGGCAAAAAATATGTAGCCTTTTAGGATTCCTATTTGACAAAGTCTTCCTGCTACCTTCATCTGACTTTGTATTTTGGTAAAGCTACAGACTTTTGAATCTTACATTGTTTAAATGAAAACAGTTCAGACTGCAAATAGAAGAAGAAAGTGACCATTTTCATCAAGCCATTGTTTCTTGAGTATTGAGTGTGTAACTTTTGCTCTCATAATGCTCATTTATCTTTAACTGAAGCAGAGATCACATGCCATCTTTGAACCTGAAGTGGTGTTGAGGGGTTTTATGCCTTAGACCAATGATGTGCAGCTAGAGAATGTAAATACTCCACGTGATTAATTTAGTAAAGCCTCTTTAAACCTTAACCTGCAGCTAATCCAGGTCTTTGTGACTAAGGCCTGGCTCTCAGCTGCTCTGAATCTGGGCACCTGCAAGCCAGATCTGAGAGTGAAACACAGTTGTGACTCTTGAGCTGCTGCATTGCTTGGATAATACATGAATGTGATGCAGGATATTAGAAAAATGATATAAAGTAGTGCAGGCAAAAGTGTTGATAAAACCACAGTATATGAGAGGATATTAAAAATGAAGTTGAGAGAGAAAATAGCGTGATGTTAGATTAGCTGGTATCATTGGAAGCAGAAATGACAGTGCTCATTCGTTCATGTCACTCATGTCATCAGGCTTGCGTGCCCAAAGCCTTGTCTCTTCTCTGGGTGAGGCTGATAGGTGTTGCTGCTTCTCTCTATTGCTGCTTCTCTCAAGCCTTAGAGCCAGGTTTTCAGGACCAGCAATGTAAGTGGCCACAACAGTACCTTGTGAGTCACAGTCACACCTCTTCTAGTTTAAGGTGGCTTTCATACCACCGACTTGCAGTGCAAAAACCTTGGCATTTAGCACAGATGTAGGTTAAAACTTGGTGTAATCAGTTCTCTACAGCACGTTCAGATGCACAGCTGACTGAAACAAATGGTCACAACCATAATCTTCTTTAAGGAGCCTAACAAAGGCTTGTCTGTCTGCCTCTCTATCCCTTGCTGGCGTATACTCACTGTGACACTAATGAAGCCTTTGGTGTACAAAGTGTTTCTACCTTTCTAAAACCTCTCAGTTTACTCATTTATACTGATGTTGCATGGTTGGATTTAGGGAAGGAAGCACATCAATTGATGTCTTCAGCCCTGGATAATAGATGAATCCATGCCAGCTGTCTAGAGAATGCTTGACTTAACAATAGCTTTTCTGTCTAAAAATAATCTTCAGGTTTCCTTCCTTCCTTTTCTTGCCCCTCGTAGTGTTTTCCTCTGTTAGGTGGCTGAGGCTTTAAGTGTTTTCCATTTGCTTGGTGTAAATACATCCTATGTATTGAATTCAAACACTGCCTGGAAGTGAGTGACTGCCTTTAGCAGTACTTAGAATGATACCCGTAATTTAGCTAGGATGAAAGGGCTGAATGTGTTGGTAAAGCCTCACTCTCAATGATTTACCAGTCAAATAGTTAGGATCTAACCTTGTCTAATTAAAGAGGTAGGGTTTGGTTTCTGTTTTTAGGTGATCTTGGTATTTGGCTGCCTTAGCCTCTTAAGTGGGTGTCTGGAGGCAGTGCTTGGTGCAGAGGCCTTTGGTTAAGAGATGGTTTTGTGCACATGGATCACGTTAGTGTTAATGGAAGCTTTCCTGTGGAAACTTTGCTATGGAAAAAATCTCTCTTTCTCCTTTTACAGCCCTCAGAAGCCCTGTCATCCCCTAAGTGATGATGTTGCACATTGAAGTTGCTTTTAAGCTGTATGGCTTTCTGACTTTCAAAGCCTTTCAGAGACGGAAGGTGTTTTGCTGATGTACCCTTTTATCCGTGTGCCATGCATACAGAGGGACTTGCACTGCTTAGATTGAGGCTTGTAAAAAGACAGCATTAAAATGGCTATCCTGTCCTTCCAAAGACTTTCAGGGCCTTGAATCACTGAGCACCAAATTCATTCCCCCTCCTTTCCCCTGACTGTAAATTGCTTTCATCTTAACTTCGGAAGTGCTATAACATTTTGTTTGCTTTTCTCCTTAGAGACCTTAACAGTGTGAATTGTGATGAACTGGGACCTTTGCCTCCAGGCTGGGAAGTTAGAAGTACGGTTTCAGGAAGAATATATTTTGTAGATCATAACAACAGAACCACACAGTTCACAGATCCACGACTACATCACATCATGAAGTAAGAACCTCGCCTGATAAACCGTTCATGTCAAGTCTGGATCCTTAAACCTTTTGTCCAATTTTAACTGCAGTCTGGGAATCATGAGGGGGTGAAAAACTGCATGATAATGATACTGGGGAACAGATGCAGCCAATGCTCTAATCAGGGTCTGAGCATTACTTCTCAGTGCTGGCTTTATCTAAGCTTTCAGGTTAGATATAAGGAAGAAGTTCTTTATTGTGAGGGTGGTGAGGCACTGGAACAGATTGCCCTAAGAAGTGGAAAGCTCTTCATCCCTGCAGTGTTCAAGGCCAGGTTGGACAGAGCCTTGGGCGACATGGCCTAGTGTGAACTGGGTTGGAACTGGATGATCTTAAGGTCCTTTCCAACCCAAACCATTCCATGATTCTATGGGACTCTCCAAAATGTATTTATTGTGCTTTGCAGCCCTCAGCTTTAAGGGAGGGTTTCCTTATTTCAGCACAACACTGATCTCTTTAAGCTCCTTTGACAAAATTACCCTAAGCTCTGCTGAAGTGAATATGCAGCTCTGGAAATACTGAGGTGTGGGACAGAGGTTCTGCCCACAGCCTGTCTGGATTAGCAGTTCTAGTTCTGTGCTAGCTACACTAGATCTCAGCTGGCTTCATGCTCCCTTGAGCTCCAGACAACAGGACTATAAAGCCAGCTGGAGTCTGGTTGCCTGGTGCTGTTCACAGCCAGTTTGGGTTTAGCAGGATTTAATAAGCTCAGTGTCTGCATCATGCAGAGGCAGCTGCAATGTTACAAGAGCTGACCCTGGAAGCAGCCTGGCAGTGCTTGTGGTGCCCAAGATCAGACTCTTTGCTGGATCTGAGGTGTCTGTGTTTAAAGCGAGCTAGGGAACACCTGTATCTATAACTGCTCTGCACCCAAATAAAGCACTGAGGGATAAGTACAGTTGAATGTATGAAGCTGCAACTATTTGGGGCAGTCTTTCTCTTTTAATAACCACAAGTGCAATACTTTTACTGTATCGAGCATCCTCAGCTTTATTTTGCATGGAGCTGGATTAAAACCCACTGGGGTTGTTATTGATAAGTCCATTTATAAAGCTGTTGTTTGTTCCATTAGAGGCCTCTTTTCCTGTTACACCCTTGAATGTTGTCTCCATACAGGAGCAATACCACACAAACTTCTTAATCACTGCTCAGTCAGCATGCAGTGACCATGCTCCACAGCCTTCCACAATGTATTGCCATATAACAACTGAACTGATGTATTCCTTACATCCCTGAATGCAGGGCAATGATGCTATAGAGTTACCCAGCTGAATACACATTTCTTTCCAGCTTCCTTTTAGAGAAGCTTAATCAGTTCTTCCATCATTGTTTTACATTATAGTGTAAAACAATGCAGTTGTTTTATTGTGCTTCTGGAATATTTCTTTTTCTTTCAAAGCCATCAATGCCAGCTAAAAGAGCCCAGCCAGCAGCCTCTGACAGCTCCAAATGAGGGATCACTAGAAGACGGAGAGGAGTTGCCTGCACAGAGATATGAAAGAGACTTGGTACAGAAGTTGAAAGTTCTTAGACATGAGCTCTCTCTTCAGCAACCACAGGCTGGTCACTGTCGCATCGAAGTATCCAGAGAGGAGATATTTGAGGTATTTCATTGACTTTTTTACTCCTAACAGCAGCTTTTGGCACACAAGAGTGAAGTAAAACTGATCTTTGATTACAGTAAGTGTGCTTCACAAGAGAGGTAGGGGATATCACTACCAGGTGGTGCAGACTTGTCACTGCCATTTGTTTCACATATAGGAATCCTACCGTCAGATAATGAAGATGAGGCCAAAGGACTTGAAAAAGAGGCTTATGGTGAAATTCCGAGGGGAGGAAGGCCTGGATTATGGAGGAGTAGCAAGGTGAGAGACAGGGGGTTGTCTGATGCTTTTGAACTGTAGGATTGTCCTTAAAGAGACCTGTGGCTGATAGCTTTCCCTTTCAAATTGTCTGTTTGCTGTATATGTAAGTTATTTGTGATCTAGTTTATAGGTAGTGATTGTAGCTTCAATCTTCATACCATGGTAGATGGGAAAGTAGAAGCATGTGATTCAACAGTTGTCCCACAGCACTCCTGGTGTAAAAGACTGGTACAAAAATGACTTTGTATTTGGGAATGTCTCTGGAATTAAAGCAAGATCGAGGTGTTTGTTTCCGCTCTTCTCTATGGGTACTCAGTTTTCATCACCATTACCCAGTGAATGCAAAAGGATTGTTTAGGACAGGGTATTCATCTTACAGAGAAAGGGCTGATCCCAGTCACATTCTGATCTGTTGGAGCAGGAGTGGAGATGAACCAATCCTAAACAATGGCTAAAACTTTAGAGAGGACTTGCCTCCCTCTTAAAAATAGTCATTTCCTTTGGGTTGCTTCAGATGAGCTCTGGAGCTGGTTGTAGCATCACCAAAGTGCTCATCTTTGCATGCTGGTGTTTAGACGCATTGTTTCACTTCACTTGGAAATAGCATTTGCATTAAAATAGCTTTTCTAAAGACCTCCAATGATTAAGTTGATTTAAACAATAAATTTTGCTTCATATTTCTTGATACTGTGCAGGCTGCAGAGGAGCAGATCACTCAGTCACCAAGTACCTGAACTATGTACAAAGTCAAGATGCTTTTAGAAGTGGGTCTTGTTCAGGCTTGGCTTGTTGATGGTGTTAACAACTTGCTATAGCTTCTCTAACTGATGTTAATTCCTTCAGTACTTCTAAACTAAAACAAGTCTGCCTGTGAGTGGAGGAAGACACTTGATGGGTTTTTAAGCAACCTTTTTGGTCTGCACGTGGGGAGCAGTACAAGGTGGTCTGATTTTGAACTAAGCATTCAGCACTGATGATTCACAGTAATCGTGTGGTCTAAAACGCCAGTGGAAGCTGCACCCTTCTAAATACCATTTCCTTTTTGTTCCTCTTCTTTTTGGGCAGAGAATGGTTGTATTTACTATGCCATGAAATGCTGAATCCCTATTATGGACTTTTCCAGTACTCCACAGATAATATTTACATGCTGCAAATCAATCCAGACTCTTCTATCAATCCTGTAAGTATTAACTTCTGAGCGACGTGTCTGCTTTGTGGTGTTTTGCTATAGCTGTTCTTCCATGACAGCAGTGTAAAGTGAAGGGTAAGGAGAGCAAGAATGTGTTAATGACTCTCATATTGACATACTATGAAGCCGAGGGGTTTTGTTCAGAAACTAAAAACATGATAGAGGAGGTATCCTTTGATAAGAATCTTATTTCTTTGAGTCTCATTTCCTGACATTTGTTCTGTAGGATGAGGGAGATAGATTGGAAGAATCTCAACCAGAGCAGTTATGCTTCAGTTTCTAAAAGCCAGCTTATAAGCAACATGAAAGGCATGAAGGAAATAAGCACCTGGCCCGATTCCTCAAGAGAAAAAACATTTGATGGTTAACAGAATAAAGCCATTTGTTTGGAATTGTCCCATCTTCTTGCATTCTGGATGTTTCATAGGGATTTTCTCTTGAGTTTTGCCCTTTGAGAGGTTTAGAGGCCTCGTATCCCATTTATTAGTCAGGTAATGCACAGAGACTTGTTTGAGGCATTTAATCATTAAGTGCATCTGGTCTTGGTTATGTCAGGAGGAAAAATGGTGGCTCCTCTTGCCCAGAGGGTTGCAGATAACTGGCACTGAGCACACAGCTGATGGTGCAGATATAACCACAAGATGTCAGTGTCTTCCTGCTGCCTGTTTTTCTTCCCTCTCTCCCTGCAGGACCATTTGTCTTATTTCCATTTTGTTGGTCGGATAATGGGTTTGGCTGTGTTCCATGGACACTACATCAACGGGGGGTTCACGGTTCCCTTCTACAAACAGCTCCTGGGGAAGCCCATTCAACTCTCCGATCTGGAATCTGTCGACCCAGAGCTACACAAAAGTTTAGTCTGGATCTTGTAAGTACTGTGTTTAACAATTGTCTTGCTGTTCCTATGTTAAAAGGCTCCAGGTACTTGAGGAAAGGCTTCTCTGTGTTAGCTCTCCTTCCAGCAAAGTAGATCCTAAACCATTAAGCACTTCATTAAAGTATCAGAGTATCGAAATCCAAACTCAGGACAGAGATCTGAGGGAGAGTACAACCTTGTTCCAAAGAACACCAACTTTGATTAAAATGGAAGTAATTTGGGCTTCAGAACAAATCCAGTGTTCACCCTTGCTTTGCATTATCTCAACTTCTTTTTCTAAATGCTGGTTTGAATTCTGTGTTTAAAGTTACTGAGGATGTTGAGGTTCACTGCGTGTGATCTCTTCCGTGCTTCACATTGACACAGGAAGCACATCAGAGTATTGCTCCCTATGTATCTTTATGTCTGCGTGTTTGTGTATATAGGATTTTATTCATTATCCTGAGTACTACTAGAATTAATGTACTAATTCTAGTTAATACATCTAATGTACTATTAGTTAGTACATTGCTGTAGTAGTATCTGATCAGTATTTAATCAGGCTTTTCAACATCTATTAAGCTATATAGAAAGTGGGCATTGTGGCAGTACTCCTAGTGGTGTGAAGTGCTGATGGTTAGTTCCTAGGTTTACCCTGAAGACTGCTTAAGTGTTCAGTAACGTCAGCATCACCACTGAGAGTTATGAGACGATCCAACGACTAGGTTTACCCCCTGTCTTTCTGTTGTCAGAGAGAACGATATCACCCCAGTTCTGGACCATACATTTTGTGTGGAACACAACGCTTTTGGGCGGATTTTACAGCATGAACTCAAACCAAATGGCAGGAATATTCCAGTGACAGAAGAGAACAAGAAAGAATATGTCAGGTATTGCAGAACAAAAATATACCCTGTAAATGTAATGTCAAGAAGATAGGAATTGTTGATGGAAAAGAAGCTGGTAAACGCTCTCATAATACTAAATGTGTGTATTAAACCAAGTTCCTCTGTAAAATGAGCATCTTCCAGCTCTGCTATAAAAAGCCTAGTCCTAGCTCACTGTCCCTGACTTTTTCTTTCCCTCCTCCCCCAGGTTGTATGTAAATTGGAGATTTATGAGAGGAATAGAGGCACAGTTCCTGGCTCTGCAGAAAGGTTTTAATGAACTTATTCCTCAACATCTCCTTAAGCCTTTCGACCAGAAGGAACTTGAGGTATGTCTTTTACCCACATGGAAGAGTTCTTTGATTTGTTTGATCCACACTCAAGCACTGCTTTGAGAACAAACAAAAACCTCACAAAACTTAGTTCAATGTATGTACCAGAAAGCTTTGTGTTCATTTAACCAAACCCTTTTTGGTTTATTCCAGACATCCTTTGGGTTAACATTATTGAGAGGGCTGCTTAAAAGGGGAAAGACAGATACATCGGGTTGTCTAATGCAGGATTAAAGCTCAAAGCAGGTGTTCTGAGCAGTACTGCGAGTCTGGGGCATTGCTGACAAGACCTAACATGTTATCTACCTCAGAATTTGCTTCCTTCAGTTACTTCACAATCATGGCTGTTTCTGTATGCACACAGGGCATGGTTTCGATAGACTAAAATACAAGTGTAGAGCAAACAGAAAAGAATTTGTCTTCTCATTGCATCCTGAGGTGCAGATCGCTCCCTCTTAAAATCAGTCCCATTACAGCAATTTTTCACCTAGTTTTGCCTTTTTATAAGGCAGCCTGTGGCATATTGACAGTCTGTGGTATTGGAAGCACTAGCTCTGTGCTAGTTGTTTGTGCATGCTGATGGATCCCATGAAGTTACTGCGTTCCATTTGCTAGCTGCTTGAAAAGGCAGATTAAAAATCCATTACCTATTTCAATGCTGGCTGCATCAGAACAGTCACAACTGCCCTGATAATGTAAACGACTGAGAGTGCCGCCTTGGTGGCACAAAAAGGGAGCTGCTAAATGGTAGCTCTCAGAAATGTGACCCTCGACGTGGACTATTATGGGAAATGTAGAGGATGACACACATTTGGTTGGATGAAGTTGTTTCTATGCAATTGATTTGTCGTTGCCATCAGTGACTGCCTTTTGCAACCTGGTGTCACCTGGAAAAGAGACTGAAGTGATGTGTCTGGTCTGTAGGTGTATTGCAGACAAACCTGCATCAGTACAGTGATGTGCTGTGCAGTAGATGGCATGTCTTCTAGTCTGTGCTGTACCCTCTTAAAGATATGCTTTACTTTTCAGGTAGCATTGATTTAACAAAGCAGGTCTTGAATGGGCTTCTGACTCTATAGTTTCTTGTGCAGATTCTAGTTCAAGTCTATTTGGCCTCAGCTTCACTGCTGTTAAACTAGAGAGATGTATTGCCTGTTCTGAACTGCTTTGGAACATTACCTTGCACCAACAAGGTGGTTCAAGCACGTAAAGAATGTGAGGCTTCATGAAATGGTTTGTATATTCTTACAGCTGCAAACCTGAAGTGACTCTGCATGTTAAAGCGTTTTGTAATCCTTTACCAGCTCATCATAGGAGGCCTGGATAAGATAGACCTGAATGACTGGAAGTCAAACACCCGTCTAAAGCACTGCATGGCAGATAGCAATATTGTGAAGTGGTTCTGGCAAGCAGTGGAAACATTTGATGAAGAAAGAAGGGCAAGGCTGCTGCAGTTTGTGACGGGCTCGACGCGTGTCCCACTTCAAGGTTTCAAGGCTTTACAAGGTGACTGACGTGGAGGCTGAGTTAATCTATGGTGGGAGAAAGAGATAAAAATCACGGGGTATTTACTACCCCTTGTAAAGTATCAGCGTCTGGCTGGATAACTCAAGCACTTTACATCCCAAGAGCACTTTTACATTTGTCAGCAGCTCTGCTGATGGTGAACACTTCAGTCATTGCTGATAGTGAGAAAAGCTGGTAAATCTGTCATCGTGTAGTGCCTTTGACTGGTGTCAATATTAGTTTGTCAGTCTCCCGCAACTCTGGACGGATGTTAAAATCACTGCATGGAAGCACACAGGGGGTTATAGAGCTGACCAAGCGGCATTTTCACATGAGAATCGTGTTCCCTTCATTATTTGGCAGCAAACCATTAGACTTTAAAACAAGTGCCTTAAAGTTGTAGGTTTTATCTTCAGAAAAGGTGGCAGCATCCTTGGCTGCTGTGATTCTCCTGATAGCGTTCCATCTGTTGGCTGACAGTAAACTGATGTCCCAGAGTAAAATACCTGCTTCTGGTTTACAACTAAAACCTTCCTGTACCTAATTCTGTTCATTTCTGAAGGTGCAACTTTGTTAATACAGAATTTAGCAGCTTTCCAAAACACTGGTCTGCAGATTGTTGTGAACAGCCCTATTGCTTCTGCCATCCCTTCATCAGCTGCAGACTGACCTACAGATTCAGCCTGTGCCATAACTATGTTTGCAGCTGGAACTGTAATCTTCGCTCTTGCTTTTACATAAGTGGCAAAATCTGTGTGCAGGAATGATGCTTTATTGAAGTGCATTAACTAGAATGTCTGTCTGTAAGGTTCTACAGGCGCTGCAGGACCCAGACTATTTACCATCCATTTAATAGATGCAAACACAGACAACCTGCCAAAAGCCCACACTTGGTAAGATTCCACATGTCACTGCTTGCTTTCTCTTTGTCTTGGTTTAAAGGAGCATCTCTCCTTGTCCTGAGTATGGATTAACTGTGTGGTATGCATAGGTGACTCCAAGTGTGCTCTACTAGCTTGGAAATATCTATACTCTGCAGCCAGCAAGATAATCCACTTCTCTTCTTACAGCTTGCTTTATCTTCTATGCTATCTGTGGTTTTCATTTAGCCCAGAGTTGATTATTCTGGATAGTGAGATGCTTGTAAGTTTATTTCTATGTGTAAGCTTGTTTATATGTGAGATCCAGCAAAAGCATCCGCTGAGAAATGACTCCCAGCCGTGAGCCCTTGCGCGGGATGACAAAGAATAGATTTCAGATGTCAGATGTAGGGAAAGTGTGCTCTTGGCACAGACTAGGCACAGACCTGGGCTCTCTTACGGAAGTCTCACTCTATCAGAGACAGGAAATCATTTCAGCAGCAGCACAGCTTGTCTGCAGGCAGAGCAGGGAGCAGCCTGCCTGAGCTCTTGCTTTAGTTGCAAGACTCCTACATCTGCCACCTTCAGATGCCCGATGAAGTCATGCATTCCTGCTGCACGAATACAGTTGTTTGTTATCTTGTCTCCTTCAGCCACTGACGAGGCCAAATTCTGGCTATATGTAGCTATTTAGAGTTTTTTTTTTTTCCCCAGTAAATAGTTTAGATTTTTATAGCATCATAGAATCAATTGGGTTGGAAAAGACCTTTAAGATCATTTAAGATCAACCTTTACCCCAGCCCTGCCAAGTCCACCACTAAACCATGTCACTAAGGGCCTCATCTACACCATTTGTGAATGCTTCCAGGGATGATGATTCCACCATTCCTTGGGCAGCCTTTTGGTGAAGGAATTCTTCCTAATCTCCAGTCTAAAATGCTTCAATGTGTTGTTATTTTACCCCTAGCTTTAACCGGATTGACATTCCGCCTTACGAGTCATACGAGAAGCTTTATGAGAAGCTGTTGACAGCTGTGGAAGAGACATGTGGGTTTGCTGTGGAGTGAAAAAGCAACCAAAGGAAACAGATGCTAGCTCATGGACCACCAAATCAAAAGCTAGAAGAAGCTTGCTGTGAACTTCCTGCTAAGCTGTCTGAAGCATCGCAACTTAAAGACAACTTAGAGATGGGGCCGTTTCCCTTCCGCCGCTGGTGGATGAGGGTGGGGGTAGGGGCTTTTGTTGGTGGTTTCCAACTTTATTTCCTCCCCTTCATTCCAATAACCCCTTCCCTCTTCCTCCATCTCCCATACAACGAAATGCAGCCAAGTTCAGCACTTGGCTTGGGTTACACAGGATATTCTGCTAGATTTGTAACACATATTGTGATAGGGTCAGTGACTTGTGGGGGATTTTTTTAATCATAGAATCAAAGTGTAATTAGGAGTGAGCTTAATTGGCTGAGGACTTGCAGCTGGTAGATGTACTTGGTTAGTTTGTCCTAAATCAAGCTGGAGCCCTTGTAAGAGTCTGATGGGTGCAGAGTGTCTGACTGGCACTAGGATTTGCACTGCACATGTTAAACACCGGTTGAAAAAGTCACCTTCTAGCAGAAGATACCTCCACGTCACCACTTAACTGAAAGGTAAAGAAATCCAAGTTCTGCCTTAGCAGGAAGCTCCCAGTGGAAGCTGTGGCTCACCTAGGGAAAAGTGAAGGAATCTGGGACAGCTTAACTGGTATTGTATGATTTCTTTTTGGTTGTCCTGGCTGAAATCTGATTGTTTTGCACACAAACAGTGATTTCCTCCTGCAGAATTGCTTTCCATAGTTCGTTCCGATGTAAGTACCTTGCAGAGAAGCCTTGTGAGGAGGAGGCAGAGGATAAAAACCTGTTCCATCCCAGAGCTGTGATGTCTGTGCCGCTGGTGTTTTACCCAACGTGTGTTTGTGTGACTTCAACTCCTGAGACTCACTAAGAGCTCAGTTAACAGAGCAGACTTCTGTTCCAAAGGTTTTAGCCTTGGCAAAGGCTGATTTGGAGGTTGAGATAAAGGGTAACTATACAGCGAGTACACTTGAAACGTTATGGAAAGCTATGGGAAGAATTTATGACTTCAGTTCTGTAGGGATGAAAAATATCTCCAGAGAGCCATAGAAAGGCTAATTCCCCCCCCCTTCAAATATCAGAAACTAATACTAAAAGGTTTATTCTCTAACACTTTGCTAAAACAACTTCCCAGGGGCAACAGAAGCAAATCAAATACCTGAATCACTAACACCTTTTCCAGTTTGCACACCGAGATGAGACAGTGTTTTAACACGGCTTCAGAAAGACCCAGTGACCTGTCCAACATGTCTAAACTTAAGTAAAGCAGGCTTGCTTGTATAGGATTTTTTTTCTCTTTGGCAAGCCTGGTTTTTAGAGAGATTCATTACTGAAACCTGTAACAGATGTTATGTTTATGGAATAGTGCATTGAAATTCAGCTGTGGGTAAGAGATCGTTCTTAGAAGACGTCTACTTGGAATACTTCTATTTTGTCTTTTTTTAATGGAATTTGATAATAGCTTTAAACTGTGATAGGACAGAAAGTAGACTCTTGTCAAAACCCTGGCATCTTTCTCTGTTTTGTTTCTCTGTGGTTTTCTTTTCTTTTCCGTTCACCATCGTTCTTGTGGTTTGGTGTTGGGAGTGAGGAGCGCATCGGAGGTGTACAATTGTACCGTATTGTGAGGCTTGCACGGGGTGGCTGAAGATGCTCATCCAGCAAGACTGTAAGGAGAGGTGTAGTCAGAGCCATGTCCTGCAGGAAGTTTTTGGCACTTGAGGACCACTTTCTGCAGTTCTGGTTGTTGGGACTACGTGGATCTTTTGCAGGAGAGAGAGGAAAGAAGCATCTGTCTGGTCTTGGTTGAGTAGCAGAGTACCCAGGCATAGAGTGTATTTAACCCTTTCAGTACATGTGAATGTGCAATAAACCAGTCAGATAAGACACATGCAAAATGGATTATTGCCCAAAAGCTTTGCATGCAGCCTCATGTGGATTTTTCACTAAAAGAATATTAAACAAGAAGAAAAGCAGATACTAAAGCCCACCACGATCCAAAATCCTATCATGCAAGCTCTACGTGCAGCGCAACTGGCTCAGTGAAGACCAAGCGAGGTGAAGACCCTTGGTTTGGAGATCTACAGGTCAAGTAGCTTTATGTCAATGCCAAAGTTGACATATGATAGTCCCTAATGTCTTTGCTAGGTCAGTGTTTTATGGAATGCACAAAAGAATAGGCAAGGATTGGTGTTTTGGCAAGTCTGGGGTTCGCTGTAGTTAAAAAAGCCCTTGTGAAGGTACCTCCTCCATGCTGACAGTAACAGGAATAGGGCACCGTCTGTTTAATGATTTCAGTTCTCTTTTATAGAGCTTCACCACCTCTCCCATCGTGTTGTCTTTGCGATTTCGTGCCACTTCAGTGATGATGAAGACATCTTTTGTGTTGTTCTCTACGTGCATTTGAGGCAGGCCTTAAAGCTGGTCGGGTGGGTAGAGGGAAATGAAGCAGAATGGGGTTTAAGCGATGGCTTCTTCTTCTACGGCTGGTTACCAGGCCAGGGAAGGAGGAAATGCAAACAAGGGTTTGCACAAGCTTGAGCCATTGACTCTCTGTTGGGATAACCTCCGCTGTCGCAATTTGTGTGTTCATTCCCACTTGGTCTGCCAGCACTTGAACTGGTTGTGACTTCTCAAACTTGCCCAAAGAATAACATCGAGTCTGGTGTTCGTTAACGTCATTGTTCCGCCTCGTACACGGATCCTCTTGGATCTGACCCGAAGGAGATGACAAGGTACAGCGTGTCTTTTTGTTCCTGTCCTAAAGGCCAACCTAAAAGCTGGTCCATTGGCACCACAGACCTTCAGTGCTCGCCCTGATACCGCTCATCAGCCTATATACTCTACGCTCAGGGATGTAGGAAACCACCACTTTGCTCGTGTTTTACATCGCGGAAGAAACGAGACTGGTTCATGAACGTTGGTGTTAACGCGGGCATTCCGTTAGAAGAGACCCTGCTTCAGAAAGGCTGCTGGGAGCTCCAGGCAGTGAACTCAGCGTTTACTCCTCAGTGTGTCCTCAGTGCGAGTCGAGGCGGTTGTGAAACCCAACCCACTTTGTACAGCAGAGATCCAGCCCTTGGGGCCCTCTGGAGCCGGAGCCCAGGTACAGGGGTTCAAGTGTGGCACACAGCAAGTTCCCAGAGACACTGTATGGATCTGGTTTTTAATTCCTTACTTCTTTCGTTGTTCCTCAACCACTTTATAATGTGTTTTTTTTCTTCTTCTTTTCTTTCTTTTTTTTTTTTTTAATTTATTATTTTGTAATGTCCTGTTTAAGTATTGCTGCTATCCTTGTTCTTCTTCCCACTGTTTTTAAGGCAGATTTATTTTGTGAAAGTTGTACACTAATGTTTCATTGTATGTCTAAATCAAAGTATTTAAAGAAATCCTAGTTCTATTTAATGTGGTTATGGAACCAGCTGGAATCAACAGTGATTGTATAGTAGGCTGGACCCAGGAGGTCATGTTCATTTTTGTTACATATGCAATAAACTCACGACTTTAAACCTTGGTAGCCACCCATTTTGTTGTCCCATACATATGGAAGCCACAAGAAAACTGGGGAGTGTGATAGAGCTGTACTTAGCCTAGCAACAACAACATCAGTATTGCTGTTCTTGAAGATACAGCATTGCCAAATAGGTGCAGTTTGGTTGACGGAGCTGGAATTCCATGTGATGGAGCTGTCCTGGAATCAGCACTGGTCTCCCATCAGGATCCAGTCTGTTTCCAGCATCTTGGCAGTGGGATCATGGTCACTAACTCACAGACAAGGTATTGAATGCAACTGATATTGCAGGTTTATAAGGACCGCATAGAAATCCTCCTTTCCAGGCAGAACACTTTTCATTACCACCCATACTCATTTTCCCTTCTTACCTTACTATTTAAGCTGTTATTTTTCCATAACCTCAGTTTTCAGGAAAGAAATTACAATTCCCACAACCCCCTTAATGGGAGCTGGAGAAAGATTGATTCACGTTGATGAATCTCTGCTTTCCTGATCGCTGATTAAAACAACCCCAAAACAACCCATGTCTTACAAGCGGAGAAGGATGGGGACGGGTCTGAGGATGGTATCAGGGTGTGCACAAATGATGGAGTTCATTTGCCCACCCCTCAGCTGGCAGCAGGGATGGGGCATCCACAGCCCCTTTGCTCTGCTGAGCGTTGCCTGGAAAAGCCATTGGCCTTCCCCGCATGCATTGAGAAACCAATCTCAATGGAAGTGGGATTTGCCCCTCTGCCCCCAGCCTTTCCCACTGCCTGGGAAGCTTCATGGGGTGGGATGTGGCACTGCCTTCATCCTCTGCGGGCTTCAGCTCCCCATAACCCACTCTCCAAAGAGGAACTGAATGCAATCAGGAACTCGGTGATGTCCTATCCCCAAACGTGCTCTGGCCCAGATGGGGGGGGGGGGTTGAGGGTGCTTTTGGGGCGGCAGGTCAAGGGTCCCAGGAAGGCAAGAATAGTCCTTGGAACCAGCCTGGGTCCTGTCACCCACCCCTAGGGCAAAGCACCCCCATAGGGGACCTGCACTCCATAGGGACTTCCCCTTCTATGGCAAGGCACCCCATAGGGGTCCTATAACTCCCCCCACAGCGGAGCACCCCCATAGGGGACCTGCACCCCACATCAGCAGAGCATCCCTATAGGGTTCCTGTATTCCAGTGCTCCCACTCACCAGCAGAGCACCCCGATAGGGGACCTTCCCCTCAGTAAGCACCCCCATAGGGGTCCTCCACCCCATAGGGAACCTTCCCCCCCGATGAGCACCCCCATAGAGACCCTACACCCCCCCTCCCCATAGAGCACCCCAAAGGGATCCTGCCCCCCCCCCACCCGGAAGCACGTGCAGCTCCTCGCCCCGCCCCTTCCCCTTACGCCCCGCCCCTCCCTCTCCTCCCGCTAGAGGGCGGTGCCGCCCGGAGGACCGCCCGCCGCCGTCGCCTCTATGGTAAGTTTCGCCTCAGAGCGGCTCCCCTCGGCGGGGGTGGGTTGCCCGTCTCTCTCCCTGTCCCTCCGCTCCCCGCCGCCGCTCTCTATGGTGCGGGCGGAAGGAGCCGGGCCGCGGCGGTTCAATGAAGCGGGGCGGTGAGTGCGGCCGGGAGCCCCTGGGCCTCCCCTCCTCTCCCCTCAGCGCCGGGTCCTTGGGGGGCCGGGGTCGGGATCGGGCTCTTCCCGCCCCGCTTCACCTCAGCGCCGGGGGCCGCTCCCCATTCACCTCAGGGCCGCTCTCAGGCCCCGGGGTCCCGCTGTCCGCTCCCCATATAATATAATAAGGCAATGGGGAGTGGGGGGGGGGGTCTGTCTCCGTGGGGTCTCCTGACCGGCTCGTTGCAGGTACCGTGGGCTGAAAGCCACCGTCGGCTCCGGAGCTGGTGGGGAAAGGCGGATGTTAAACTGTGCTGCTGCTCTTCCGACCTTGTTGTGTGGAAACACTCGGTGCCGCTCGGACGTCTGCTGTGGGAAGGGAACCCAAAACACGGCCGGACACGGAGCACAGGGGCTGTGTAAGAGGTACTAGTCCTCCTCCTCCCCTTCCTTCTCCTCTTCCTCCCCCTTATCCCTATCGACTCGAGTGCTTGGTGGCAGAGAGCAGGCGCTGGGAGCTCTGATGTCCATAAGGCTTTTATAACAGAGGTGACTGGTGGTTGCTCTTCCATGGCTGGAGGAAGGTTGGGGTTTCACTGAGCTATTCTGAGGCTGAAGAGCTCCAGTGTGCTCCAGGAGCAGTGCTCCTGCATGGGCTGCAGAGTGCTTCGTTGAAGGTCGGCTTAAAGAGCCACTGTCACCCCCTGGTATCCACTGCACTGGGGCTGTGTTTGCTGGGCACACAGCTGCTGCTTGTGGCCACGGATCTGGCCCGGGAGGTTTGCATTCAGGATACGTTTTCCTTAAGCAAATATCTCCAATGTTTGGGAATGACTGAACGCCTGTTTGAAAGATACGCGGTATGTTCTTTATATCTCACCTTCGCTTTGTGACCTGAAGTGTTGTCTTCAGGTGCCTTCTAATACTTCAAGTTGAAGTCTTACTAAAAGATGCTTATGCCAGAAACATAGGGTTTGTATGAACAAGTTCAGTTGTTGATGTTCCTGTTCGGTGTCCTGGCTGCTGGTTAAGCAAGGGGCTGTTTTGGAGGTGAAGCGTTATGGTTTGGGCGCTGTTCTGAGACCTCTGTGGTCGCTGATGCTGCTGCTCTTCACTTTCTGTTTCCATTTCCTAGGCAGAACGCTGAGGGGCTATGGCTCAGCTCTGTGTGTGTGCTTTTCCCAACATTTTCTGTTGTGTTTCTATTCCAGCCTTATGGAACAGCATACTCCTCTCGCTTTATTCTGGGCAACAATCCTAAAAGGAATAGCTGATTTCTTTGGTGCCTGAAAGGCACGGAGGAGCCTTAATGCTAAGACCTATGAGTAGATCCCTGTTTGTTCTGTCCCTGTGCTGGTTGGTTCCTCTTACTTCCAGTCCCTGCTGTCTCATGGATGTACTCTGGAGCTGTTGCAGGTTTCCTGCAGGAGAAGGCAGGTGTTTCCCCTGTCAGGTGGATGGACTGGACTTTGCATGCTCGGTTATAAAGTGGCCTCCTCCCTCTTCCAGAGAGGATGGTGCAAGGGCTCATTATTTCCCTCCAGCAGCCTCTTTGGAAGCTGAGGGGGGATGTTTGGGAGCCATCCTTCTGCAGACCCAAATCCTGAGCAAATTCTGGCACATCCCTGCCCTGGGGCTGTAGGAGCGTGCAGCGCAAACCCTGTGGTGGTACCCATCTTCTTTAGGGTTAGCAGAAGTGCAGGGACAGCTTTTCCTTATGGAACTGTGGGATTTACAGCTTTAATCTGAGCTTTCCATTTCCAGGCTGAATGCTGTACAAAAATTCCACTGCTTTCCATGAGGCCTTTCCATGCTGTAAACATCTTAATAGCTTTCATGTGCTGGGTGTCTGCGTGGTGGGAGATGTTATCCACAACCATCTTAACAGGAGTTTGTGCCTGGAATACCAAGACTTGGGAACGACCTCAGACCAGCTTCCTGAAGGGGATATGTAGAGATGTTCAGTGTGTTTGGTAGCGCTGAGTGTTGGTAACGGGCCTTCTTCCATCTCTTTTCCTTTCCTTCCTAGGATGCTTTCCTGTTGGCCTGGCTGCAGGCATCCCTCCTTAAGCCAGGGCATAACTAACAGCACCTGGAAGAGCGTTTGAGGCAGGTTTCAGGTTGCTAAGGTACATTTGGGTTCCAGCAGGGTGCTTGCAGCCTGTTCCTGAGCTTGTGCTTCAGGAGCTGCCTCCGAAGTCCAAATTCCTGGGCAGAGCAGTGCTTTGTCTGCTGGAGAATGCAGTGGGCGTTACTGCCGGCGGAGAGCACTGGCACCGGGGCCTGGGCTTTGAAATTGGATGCACAGCCCTAAAAAGTCCTGTGGCAAAAATAGGTGGAGCGAGCACAGAACTCCAGTGCAGCCGGAGCCAGGCAGGAAGCATATCCCAGGGGCCAGGAGCTGATTCACAACCTGGAGTAGCACAAACCCAAGTGTGGGAGAAGCGGAGGAGCCCGTTGGGTGTCTTTGAGTGCCTGCTGGAAGAAGCTCCCATTCGTGAAGTTGGAATGGGTGTCTTTATTTGTCTTTATTTCTTTTTAAAGCCATTGTGAGTGGTTTGCTGCGTTGGGGTTCACCACTGGCTGCATTCTTCTTGGGACAGTCAGAGCTGTGCTGCTAATTCCTCTCTTGAGAAGCTTGGAGGGGGGGTTTCTGCACATGGATTTGGTCTGTGGAGATATTTTAAGCCTCTGTTTAAATCGGTGCATTCAAACATCATCTTAACTACTTAAAGGAGAGGCATTAATGGCCTGTGTGTGCATTAAAGTGGTTTGTATTGCTGTGGGGAGATGGGTGGGCTTTCCAAGCTGCTACATGTGACTTCAATTACTCCTAGTAGCATCTATCCCCAGTGGGGAAAGTGCCTTTTCTTCATTCCATAAGCAGTGGAAGGTGTGAAGCATGCAGCTGACTCCAGTTATCTTCCAGGAGATAAGGTCATTTGTGTGTGATGCGGTAGTTCCTGTGTTTGAAATGGAGCTGAATAATGTGCTGATCACCGTTAGTGTGCTGAGGAGTTTGTTTTAAGCAGGTTACTGGGAAATTTGGGAAATGAGGGGTGGGGAGGGCAGGGAGAACAGGAAAAAAGCCACTTAGTAGTGACCTGGTGGCTTGGATAAGTTATCTTTGCCAAAGCACTGCGATGCGAGATAATAAGGAATGTTTTTCTGAGCTGGGATAATCTTGTCCTCAGCTGCATTCATATCTCTCTCATTGAATTTCAGGTTTATTTTGGAATATCTCAGGAGTGCTGTTTTTCCACTGGGTCAGTGCTTGAGAGCTTTTTTAAACTAGCTTAAGAGCTAGTCTTAAAATCCTACAAATCCTTGAGAAAGCTGAATTCTTGAGGCCTATATGCAATATTCCTGCTGAAGAGCAGGGCCTTGAGCAACCTGCTGTAGTGGAAGGTAT